AGAGTTTTCGCTAAGTTTTCATGTTCAAAACGACCAAAACGGAAAGTAACTGGCAACTGACGAACAATTATTTTGCTGTTAACTAAATAGACAGTATCTTGGTACAAAATAACTTATTTATGTGGTTGGAATTCGCTGTGCCGTATGTCGGTCGCGCGAAGCAAGTGTTCACCAAAGAGCAAAAACATGGCGATGTCGTTCTCTTCCACTTTTCGACTAACAACAACAACAACTACTAGTAACGTGGCGATTGCGGAGAAACGATGGCGAAAGCGGAAAGACAGACGCCGAACTTATTCCAAAAGGTGGAAGTGATCCGACTGGCAGAGAGAGTGAGAAGAAATCGTCGAAAGCTGAGCTCAGATTAAATGATTTTGCAGTCGATAGAAATTTGTTTGGAGTTGAAAGTTTGTTGCTTGATTTGCTTTCTTTTCTTTAGCCACATGTAGTACTAGTATGTACACAAGAACAGTAAATGACAACCAGTGATTTTGTATGTTTTAAATTATGTGAATGGTTTCGTTGTCCCAGAATAGATGAACTGAATATGTTGAGTGTATGTATCTTTGATGTCAAGTTAATGTTTCCTTGCAATATTTCTGTATTTCTTTTTTTTTCAAGCAAGTACAAAATAAAGTACAACTAAAGCAAAAGAACAACAAATTATTGAACTAAGACATGTACATATAAAAGGGGTGTACCTTTGCAAATGTATGTATTCATATGTTTCAGAATAAAGACATCACTGTTGGTACTCAAAGCATACATACATGTGTCCCTTTTTTTGGGGGGGGGGGGTCAACTAACCGGCTGTTTCTCTATAGTGGTCACCTGGCCATAGTGGTCAAATTTGGCCAGTCCCTTGAGTGACCACTATAGGCAGGTTTGACTGTATTAATATACTGTACTTTTCAGCTCTGTAACAACCATCCCAAGGCCGATGCAGGAGATGTAGTAATTACCCAACCTGCCGGGACCCTCAGGTGTAAAGAGGTGTACCATGGTGTCCTACCCAACTGGCAAGAGTCTGACCAGGTAACTAAAAACAGTCCATGTCTGTAGGCTGTCATGAAACTTGTACACTCAGCTGTGACTGTTGAATAATCCACAAGTGGATGTACATGTAGTCCCAGGGAATGGAGACCCCTCATTGACTAATTAAATATAAGCAAGCCAATCTATGTGTTACCGATAGAGGATTGAACTGAGTGAATTAATAAATGAATGGGTAAATGAGGGACAGAGCCAGGGGTAGAGATGGGAGACAGCTTGTTAATTTAATATGTTGTTATTAGTCATCTGGCATTCTGTATCTGTTTCGGTATAGCCGGAATAACCGCCCTTTGGCGTAACACACCAGCTGTGGTGTAACACACTGAGGCATTTTTCTCTGATGAATTGAAAAGCTAATTTAAGGGCACAAGGGATGAATTTTGATGTGATTTTTCTCTTTGTCCCTTCAGCCCCTAAGAACGATGGTGCACGACTTGCTGGAGCTAGCTCATGATGACCGTTACACCTCCATAGCGTTTCCAGCAATGGGCACAGGGAACCTGATGTACCCTCATGATGTGGCTGCCAGTTGCATGTATGATGAAATCTGGTCCTTCAGCCAATCCAACCCTGGAACAACTCTGAAGGTACCATCACCAACAGAAACCTGATATTAACCTGAGAGAAAAACCGTCTCTGTTATTCAAATCACTGTCCCCACTTCCATAGTCCTTTCCCTGCTGCCTAACCTTGCAACAAATTTAAAATAGAGGATTGGTCGCCAAGTGGCTGTAACTACAGTGTAAGTAGTAGGCAAGAATTCTTGCTATCTGGATGGCAAGTGACATCTTCCAACAATCACTAGAGAAAATTCTTTTCCTTACAACTTAAAAGTTGTGTACTCAATATCATCTTTGTAAAGTAGATTAGTTTGATTATAGTCCTTGTTATGTAGCAGAATTTGCCATATGCTGTACATGTACCTTGTGCAAACGTACATTTGTTTCTTTTATTCTTCTGTCTAAAATGTTCTCTGCTCCCAGGATGTAAGGATCATTGTGTTTGACCAGCCAACAGTCCAGGCTTTTGAAACAGAGCTGAGGGACATACAGGGGGTGCAAGAAGCTTCAGAATCTAAAACAGCCACAGGTAGGCATAATGGTAATGTTACATCACTTTTCATCTGAAGGTATTGTGACTAAGTTTTGTTAAATGTGCTTTTAGTGAAGGTCATCATAGTATCATGGAAATTGATGGGAATATATTTAATTTAGAATATTCTGTGATAATGTGTGTAGTCACAGAATCACTTTTAAATATTTGTAATGATTCCAAAGTACTGATGTCTCTCCAAATGCAAAGTTGTCAGGATTTTCCTGTACCACACACCTAAAGTATAATAAGTTCTGCCAGTTCATTTTAGTGACACTGAAGAAGAATGATGTCTGTCACTCAAAATGCCTAGAATAATTTCCATATTTCATCCATATTTTCTATCATTTATCTGGATGTCTAACCTTCACAGGTTCAGGTCCATACTCTGCAGTGCCCACCCCCATGCCTGGTCAGCAGCAGATGACCATTGGCAGTGTGACTGTCCAGATTCAGGGAGGTGACCTCACCACTGAGAATGTGGACTGTATCGTCAACGTTACCAGCAAAGATTTGGGTAATCAAATCACCTTCATACATGTTTTAAAAAGGCAACTCCAACTCCAAGTGCAGAATTAGTGTGTAGCAACATGGTATTTTACTGGCTTTTCAATCACTCAACTAGAATTCGTGGAACACATGCTTTTGTCAGGTGTATATCCTTTCACACCAAGTCGGCCTTGGGTTGCAGCCTGAGTTTGCCATGTCACACAAACACACTATCAAAGACATAGACTTCTGGTGAATTTCATTGGGCCAGCGTTTTTTTCAAGGCGCCAGCCTGACTGCCAGATCATGTTGCAGGTTGACCTACATTGTACATTCCAGTGCCATATGTGTCAGAATTATACATTACAGAAAATAAGTACATGTACCTGAACACTTAAGAAACCGTTGGGCATATGATAATAAATGAATTCTCCTGCCTTCCCCTTCAGGTTTACGTGGTCAAATGTCTCAGGCTATCTGTCAGAAGGCTGGACCCAACATAGCAGCAGAGTGTCAACAGTACATCATACAGAACGGGCAGCAGGACCATGGGGATGTAGTTTTGACAGGTGAAACATTTTCACACTCTCTTTTCTCGGTAACACTTTTAATTAGTATTCAAGAAGTCGTTAACGGTTCACTGAGCCACCTCCAGTGGAAACACATGCTTCTTTGCTAACTATTGAAGAATTTAATGGTTTTCAGCACCAAGGACAGACCTAAACTTTAAATGAGAAGGATTTTACCGTATTATGTGGACTATTTTCGTCTTACTTCAGGCGCCGGTATGCTGCCGTGCAAAGGAATTCTCCACCTGATACACCCTAATACACAGGTCCTCAAGGAAAGCATCAAGACCTGTCTGCAGGTGGCTGAGACAAAAGGCTTCAAATCGATCGCTTTCCCTGCAGTTGGAACAGGTACATGTAGGTGCAGAAGTAGAAGTGTGAGGCATGATTTGAGATACTTGTTTGATTAATGGCACACAAAATAGTTGTTAGTTAGTTAGTTTTCTCCAATAATTTAATGCAAATACTGTACATGTAGTATATAGACTGGTACCACAGTACTCCTCTGTCTTCAAACAGTGTCTCTTACTGTAATATGAAAAGAATACATCAAGCAACTGGATAAACTTTCTAAAGAGTCAGACGTTTCAGATAGCATCCACTATCTTTCATCAGTGACTGAGAAATGTAGCCAGTGACAGAGAAGAGCACAAAGATTAAAATATGCTATCTAAAACATCCAACACTTCAGAGAATTAAATCCAGTTGCTTGATGTATTTTTTAATACATTTATTTCTACCTGGATGTCTAACCTTCACTCACATATCTTCTATCTTTCCAAGGTGGTTTTCAGATCAGCCCTGACCAGGCAGCCAGTCTCATGATGGACGGGGTTGCAGACTTTGCCCAGCAGGGAGTGCCCACCTCCCTCACCACAGTCAGGATCATGGTGTTCCAGCAGCAGATGCTGCACAACTTCCACTCAGAGATGGACAGGAGGGCTCAAGACTTGCCACGCAAAGCCAAGAGGTTTACTGCAATCAAAAGCAGGTTCAAAAGTAGGAACTCATGTGTACATCGCCCTTTCAATTTTCAGCTTCATGCTTGTCATTTCGGCTTCATTCCAGACTCAGACTTGCTCCCCTACAAAGCTAGACATACTAGTAATTGATTCCATATATATACAATGTGTATGTTTTGACTGTACCATACTTCTTTACCTCTTCGGCCCTTGGGAATTTCTAGCTTGCCTCCTCTTTCTTTTGCTTCATGTTGTTACTGTTTTGTTGTGGTCTTTTCAGTTTTGTCTCAGTCAGTGGCATCAAGAAAGAGATTTGACAGATTTTCAAAGAATCTTATCCAATATATGTGATGCTTTCTTTGTCCTTTGGAAACAGACACTTTTCTGCTAATTATTGTGGAATTAAATGGTTTTCAGCACTAAGGACAGGACCAATGTTTAAACAAGAAGGATGTTTATATTGTATGTACTACTAGTATTTCCCCTGAGTTAAAAACATCTGTGTCTACTGTAATTTGCTCGCTTCTAGTTTTGGTTTAGTAGATTAGAATTCATAAGTGTGACTCAGTATATGGAAAAAAATCAATTTTCAATAATAAATATTACTTGTATCATCATTCTGTTCAATCCACAATGAAAGGTTTGCTCATTTCTATCTCTCATTAACTTGTTTTTTTTGTTCCTTTCAATAGTCACTCATTCCCTTGGGAAAAAGCGTCTTGTGGCAAAGATCCTTGGATTAACCTTAATCGACGGGGAGCACAGTGTGGCTGGCTCAGTATCAATGCCAAAGCCTCCTCTCCTTGTCCAGTTCTTTGGCAGAGAAGAAGTTGTCGACTTGGCCAAAAGCAGAGTCCAAGAAACCGTGGACACAAACCTTAAGGAAGAGAAGATTTGAAGATTCTGCAGTTCAGCAGCTGTCAGATGATGAAGTGGGAATGCTGAAGATGTACGGACATCAGAAGATGTGGCAATCTAAAGTTGGTGAGTTAATCCTTCCATCTCGAGAGATGATGGTAGCCCCTGGAAAAGGATAGGGTTGGCAGTTTTTTAGGGTTGGTCAGAAAACAGGAATCAACTTTTTCTAGGCCATTTCCTAGGCCTAAAAAGATGTCCACTCCAGATGCAGTTAATTTCTTTCTGCCTCGTACTTTCTAGAAAAAAGTGGCTGTCACTGCATCACTATACAAGGCATCACAAACATGTACACAGTTGTAAGCAAAGTCTGGAAAGTCCTGCATGACAAGAAAGAGGAGGCCAGAAAAATGGAGCAGGCTTTGTCTCTACAGAAGGACATCTCATGGTGAGTAAAGACACAGGACTCAACATGTTTCTCTTATCTACTACATTTTACTCTCTGATATTTAGTTGAAAATATTGCAAGGGAACAATTTATAAATGCAGAGGGCAGGAAGAAAAATCTTGATATGACAGTCACTGTTTTCATTCCATAAACCTGATTGTCAAACTTTGCTTCAGTATTCTTTTCCAGTCAAGCATTTTTTTTTAAATTTATGAAGCAATGAGTACTGTGAACTAATTTGGCCTCACAGTGTACACAATGTATATAGATGGAAAAAGTTTTCTGCTACCATAATAACATACTTTAGGTGTTTTAGATGCCTGGACTGATGTTCTCTGTAACCATTCTCTTAGTTTCTGCAACAGTTACTCGTAATGATAATTACATACCATTTACAAAACTGGTTTATAAAAAAAACTTTTGAGAACTCTTTGTTTAATCTGTTTTTCCTGTTTTTTCTTCCTTTTAAACCAGGTGTTATGAGCAGCCAAATGGTGCATATGTCCCCTTTGACCCCCTCATTAACTTCCAAATAGAGAAAGCCTACAAGAAGAACAGGAAAGGGAGGGTTGAGTATGAGGATGATGTAGGTCAGTGTGAGATCGACTTCAGCACCATGAAGGAAAAGGCATCCGGACAGACGTCAAAAGTCTGCAGGGATGAATTGAAAATAGGTACATTTTGAAAGACTGAATTGTTTTCCCCCCCTCATTATGTATAAATAGAAATGATGATGTTACTGCATTTCATTTTAAAAAGGAATTGATACAAACCTGCTGGAAACCTGCCTTGTTTTTGACAAGGAAATTGGACTTCTTTAAACTATGTACAACTACTTTTTTTTGTGACCAGGTCTAACAGTGACCAGTGCAGTTCCTGATCACTGGGATCCTCAGCCAATAGACCCATATTCCAGGAAACCCAAGCTGTGCCACAACGTGAAGTTATATCCATCCTCTGATGAGTACAAGACTGTGAGCAGCAAGTTCGGGCTGCTGGGAAACATTGTGAGCATTAGAAGAGTGCAGAACCCAACACTGTGGAGCCAGTACTGCACACAGAAACAGAAAATCAGCCTGAAGAACCCTAGAATGTAAGACAAAACAGATCTAGCTAACATTTAGATTGAGGGTTTCGCTTTTGTTTGAATGTCTTTTGCTGCTTACTTGTTTCCTAACATTTTATTTAAGTTAACAGTCCAAGATTTTTTTTAGTTCTAAGAGGACTAAATTTGAGTGTAGCACTTTTGTAGATGTCATTGACCTCTGTTATTCTCCATAATGTTCTTATGAACTAAAAAATCTCATTTATCATCTTTTGTCCAGAAATATAGAGCAGGAACTGTGGCATGGGTCTTCAAAAGATTCCTGTGGCAAGATTACCTACAACGGTTTCAACAGGAGCTATGCAGGACGCCATGGTATGTACCTCACTTCTTTGTTTTGAATGCCAGAATTTCCCCACTATCAGTACAGTATATACTCTTCAGTAATTTCTTCAGTGTATTAAGTACAGTCACAGAATTACAACAGCTTGTTCAATACAATTTTTATATGCGAGTTCAGACAATAATTGATGAACCATTCTTTTTCACAATTCAATTTTTTTGTCTTTGTCTTTTGCTGCCCTACAGGTACACTTATTGGCAAAGGGACCTACTTTGCTGTGAACGCATCCTACTCAGCAAAAGGCTATGCCAAACCTGATCCCAGCGGCAACAAGAGCATGTTCTTGGCCAAGGTGCTGACTGGACTGTCCACACCTGGGGACCATACTATGGTTGTCCCCCCACTCAGACCAGGGGGAGGCCCACTGGACACCTATGACTCCACCAGTAGAGTTACCAGTGATGGTACCATATTTTGTGTGTTTCATGATGCACAGGCATATCCAGAGTACCTGATCACATTCATTTGAGTGTGGGTCTGCATGGAGGGATGCCGGCAATGTTCAATGGTAATTTAGGATGAGTAATAAAAGGGTGGCGTCTGTGTGGTGTAGCGGATAGAGCATCGGACTGTCCAGCGGGGAGACCCAGGTTCAATCCCCAGGGTTAGACCCAGACATGTCTGGACTTGCACCCAGACGTTGTGCCCTTGGGAAAGGCACTATACATATTTCCTCCCTCAGTTAGAGGGATCCTGAGCTCTACTGAGGTTTGGGTTGGCTGGTTGGCATTAGGAAGGGCATCCAGCCGTTAAAATCTTGCTTAAAAAAAAAGACTTGCACTTGGTGAAATTGGGTAATAGATAATAGAAAATAATATATTAAAACTTAACAATAAATTCAGATAGGCCTACAATGCCTAACAGTAAATTAACTTGTCTTGTAGAAGACTTTTTGGAAGTGACATTTTGTATTCATGAGGTGTCCAACAAAATTATTCAGCCATTATGATTTATGGGTATGTAATTGCATCCAACTATACAATACAAAGTGTATACGAAGTATAACACAGTGAATATTTCAATGACAATTAACAATGAATTCAATATTAGTAATAACATGCTACATGGGACAAAAACGTCCAATTATGCTACACAAAGAATTTCCTGACATCTATGAACATTTAATTAAAGCACCCGGCTACAATGGACGTTTCCTAAAATCTCGCTTATTACAGCCAAAACATATAATTATGCAAATGTTTGAACAACATGCAGCCGCTCTCTCATTGGTTGACCAGCTAATTGTCATTTTGTCATTGGTTGAATTGATAACTGTGATGGACAGTCAAGAAAGGTGAATTAAATGGTTTGGTATGCCTTACGGTAAAAGGTATGCAAACCCTTTTGTGTTGCCAAGATGAAACTAATGATGATAATGATTTAATGGCCGTAATAGTATAATCATAATTTTAAATCATATCCCAGAAAATGAAGCCAAAGAAACTTCATACTAGTAGTAGAAAAGGCAAGACCGTGAGCTAATGAGCTGTGACCAAATTTGTTGTATATATATTTGTACATATTGAATATATGTATATCAATTTGAAGAGATTGAATACTATGAAAGTGCTCTTATAACCTATAATCTTTTACTGGGTATGTGGTACAAATCTTTTCATCAAGACATTTTAAAGATGGAGAAATTACGAGAGAATAATACTAATGACTGATAAGACAATCTTCAATTTATGTAAGATTACATAATCAGATATCTATGATAGATCAAACGTTTGTTTTGAGATTTGTGTGTAAACAGATTCATTGCGAAGGACTTGTGTTTATAAAAGGCATAAAATGTAACAATGTTTTTCACCCTAACGGATGACTAGCAAATGTAACAACTGCAGCAAATTTGACCTACTGCCTTTTTTTCATCAAACATGGTAAGAAGAAGATCCCTGGATGTTTGTTATTTTTCAACATCGTGCTATCAAGCTATCAATGCTTGATTAGTAGCCTGACTATCATGATAGATTTCAACCAACAAAAGTTCTGGCTAACTAGTGATTTAAGTCAATAAAGCTCTGGATTAACTAGTGCTCTAAGTCAATAAAGTTCTGTGTTAACTGGTGAATTAAGTCAATAAAGTTCTGGATTAACTGGTGCTTTAAGTCAATAAAGTTCTGTGTTAACTGGTGATTTAAGTCAATAAAGCTCTGGATTAACTAGTGCTTTAAGTCAATTAAGTTCTGTGTTAACTGGTGAATTAAGTCAATAAAGTTCTGTGTTAACTGGTGATTAACATCGATTTTAAAAAAGCATTCGATAGTGTACATAGAGACTCGATCTGGAAAATACTTAAGGTGTATGGTGTTCCTGGAAAATTCATACAAGCCTTTAAAAGCCTGTACGAGGGATCCACCTGTTGTGTAAAGGTAGACGCAGGGTACACCGACAGCTTTGACATCGTCACCGGAGTGCGACAAGGATGCGTCTTATCTCCCCTACTGTTCACTGTCACCATAGACTTTGTAATGCGCAGGGCAATGGGTAGAAGTGACTTTGGTATACCCTGGGAGGGAGACAGACGCCTCACGGATCTAGACTTCGCCGATGACATTGCTTTGACAGCAGAGTCTCAGCTGACTCTTCAGGACATGACAACATCAGCAGAAACAGAAGCGGGGAAAGTAGGTCTAAGGATCAGCTGCCAGAAGACCAAAGTTATGCAGGTGGGAGATCAACAAACGAACACAAACCTGCACATCAGTGGAGAGCCTGTTGAAAACGTAAGGCAGTTCACATACCTCGGAAGCACCATGACAGCAGAAGGGGACACAGACACAGACATCAGTGCCCGCATAGGTAAGGCAGCATCAGTCTTCAGAAGGATGAACCCAGTGTGGAACAGTGGGAAGATATCCAGAGTGCTGAAAACCAAGCTGCTACAGTCAGTAGTAATACCAACTGCACTCTATGCATGTGAAACATGGAAGATAACAACAAGAATGCGGAACAAGCTGGATGCCTTCCAACAACGATGCCTCCGCAAAATTTTACACATAACATACAGAGACAGGATTACCAACGAGGAGGTATACCACAGAACTGGTACAAAACCACTCAGCATCACCATCACCGAGAGGAGGATGAGGTATGCTGGACATGTCCTCAGGATGACCTCAGACCGACACGCCAAAACATCTGTGTTTTGGAAACCAGAGGGCAAACGGAAAAGAGGGAGGCCTAAACTAACATGGCGACGTACCCTTCAAAAAGATCTGGAAAGCAGGGGGATAACATTGAAGGATGCCGAGTCCCTCGCCGAAGACAGAGCAGAGTGGAGAAGACTTGCTGCCCAATGTGCCTTGCACGGGAGGAACTAAGTCTAAGTAAGTAAGTAAGTAACTGGTGATTTAAGTCATTAAGTTCTGTGTTAACTGGTGAATTAAGTCAATAAAGTTCTGGATTAACTGGTGCTTTAAGTCAATAAAGTTCTGTGTTAACTGGTGATTTAAGTCAATAAAGCTCTGGATTAACTAGTGCTTTAAGTCAATAAAGTTCTGTGTTAACTGGTGAATTAAGTCAATAAAGTTCTGGATTAACTGGTGCTTTAAGTCAATAAAGTTCTGTGTTAACTGGTGAATTAAGTCAATAAAGTTCTGTGTTAACTGGTGAATTAAGTCAATAAAGTTCTGTGTTAACTGGTGATTTTAGTCAATAAAGTTCTATGTTAACTGGTGATTTTTAGACTGGTTTACTCCCATGTTATAACACAAGCAAAAAACAACCTTCTACCATTCTAACATTTTTTAATTCAAGTACATACATATATTAGCAAAAGCAATAACTCTTGTTTCCTAACCTTTACATTCAGTCTCCATGAATTATTACTATATAGTAGTTTTCTAGGCAGATTTTAACTCTCGTTAAACTCGCCTAGACTCGAAAAAAATAAAGTCGTCTGCAAACAATAAACAAGGAATGCTCTCCGAGCATGTATGTTTGGTTGTTCACATTCGTTGTCAAAGACTGTAAAACCACTACTTCATTAAGTTGAGTAAAGTTTGGTGTATTTTTCTAATTCCTGATCACCTGTCTCAGAATCTTAGATTGACAAAAAGGTTTGGTGCGACTTGGTGATTGAGTCCCCGGATCACTTGTATTTCCTTCACTCGTAATCCATCGATCCTTCGGCTCTAAATTGTTCTTCCACACTCTGGATTTTCTACACGTGTGACCTATTTCTCTAGTATAACCACATGTGCAGACGTTTGTGATTCACTGTTAGTACTAACCCTCTTATCATGATATGATTGCTAGGGACAGTCATCATCCTTGATTTCGGAGTAGAAGTGGGTAGAAGACCGGTCATAGACATCGTCATCATCTATTTCACAGTAGCTGTGGGTGGAAAGTGCTGAAGACTGACGACAGGTGCTTTGTTCTTTTGGGTCAGTACAGTCAGGTTGAGCCGAGGATGTTTTGTACATCGGATTGCTGATCAGACCCGTGACATCGATAGACTGGCGGCTACCATGTGTCCTGGCGACATTTGGTGAACCTGTTTGGACAGTACTAGTGTTGCTCAGTTTCCTGTTCTCGACTCTTACACCGTTCACAGAAATACCACGAACCTCTAGATCTTCGTCCCTGATCTCGGAGTAAGTGTGGCTTGTAGTCGGATCATAAACGTCTTCGTCCTTTATCTCTTCGTAGTCCGAACGGTTGGTGGAAGCCGTGGAAAAGCGACGGTCGGTAGTCACGGTGCCAGGAAGGATATCCACGTCTTCGTCCTTTATTTCGTAGTACGTGTGTATGGAGAGGACAGAAGAACGACTAGTTGGTGCCTTGTCCGGTCAGGTCAGTACCACCCGAGGCTTGAGCTAATATTAATGCTTCGTTCGATGTTTTATACATACGATTGCTAACAAGCTGCGTTACATCGATAAACTGGTGGCAGGGGTCCGCCTGGACCGCGGCGGCGACCGGTACATTTTGAGCGGCATTCCTGGTACGTCTGTACTTGCAGACCATCACTGTGGTTAGAATTACGAGTCCGGGCACTACGATTAGTGATATTAAGTATGGAGAGGACGCCCCCTTTGCAATTGGTATTGCGACACTGGAATGAATGAGAGGAATAAGCGTTCTGTAGGGATCTTGTACATGTACTATCATGGTGGTCAAGCTTGTCTTATCGTCGCTTTTCTCTAAGTATCCTGTAGCAGAGTCTGTGGTTTGAGTGTTGGACTCTGTGTTCGTGGTATTGGACTTTATATTTGGATGGTCTTTAGGAAACTTTGAATCGGGGCATTCCGAGTATGGCCCTCCCCCAGCGCCTGGGAAACGCGACAGAGGCAACCTTCGGCCTGCTTCTCCGCGAAAAAATACAAAGCAGGAAATATTTGCCCCACTCGGCTCTGTTTCAGATTCGTTCACAAAACCTGGATTTCTCTCGTACATGTACCTAGATATCAAGGCAATGCCGTCGCTTCTGCTGGTCTCTGACTTTTCTGTGTTGTGGATACCGACCAGCTGCAACCCCACCCCACCTTTCAGGGATAAAGTCATTCCGTCATGTCTTGTCCAAGCTTGTGGACACAGGTCACTGGAAGCTAGTAATTGCCGGTTGCTCATGTTGCTTTTTGGTTTCTTCAAAGCAGTTGCGACAACAAACGGTGGTCGGATGTATATGGGGCCAAAAGAAAGCGACGAACACTCGGGTTCCTTTAAATATTTGAAAAGATAAAGGTCCAAATGAGCCCATCTGAGTTGAAAGTCTCTTGTCGCTGCCGTGTATGTGAGGCAAAAACCCAGATTATCGATGCGGAGGCGAACCTTCTGTTTCTTCCGAAGAAAATCCGTTTTGTCCACGGTCAGACTCCAGTTCATTTTGTCATCTTGCTCCCGTGGAAGTTTGCGCTCTCCCCCTACGCTGAAGGTTTGGAGTGACGGCCCCGAAAGAATTCTCTCGCTCAGACACGTCAGAGGGTTGTGGCTTACGTTCAGGACTCGTAGATTGTAACGTGAGTCGAAGGCGGTGGCGGAAACGAATTCAATCTTGTTGTGACCCAAAAACAGTGTGTGCAGGAAGGCAGCACCACGGAACCACTCACTCGCTACTTCCGACAGCAAATTGTGAGACAAATCTAACATTGTAAGATACGGGGTTTCTTCGAAACACCCAGGCTCTAGCTTAGCAATACGGTTGTGAGGGAACGACAAGTGGGCGACAGATTTGGTGCGAAGTGTTCAGACCTGAGAACGAAGCTCGTTTCAGCTGCGACAAAGTGTTGAAATCTAAATACACTGACCGCAAGTGTGGAAATCTGGCGAATGTTTTGTTCTCGATCGTGCTTATACCTGCATCTATAAGGACGAGGACCGTCAGTGAAGACGGGTGGATGTTCTGCAGGGTTTGCGAGGACAGGTTTCCGACGGGGAGACTTCGCAGGGCGACCCACTGGGCCGGCGGGAAAGCTTCGTACTGGGAAAGTGTAGCGCAGGTACTGGCTTTGGAGACTCCAGCAATGAGCGAGCGGCAATTCGTGCAGATGCAAGTCATGTTGTGGTAGAAAGTATCACGAACCTTGATGTCGTTCTGCACACACGTGTGCCAGGGTTGTAGTAAGCACTCGGGACCGGAAGAGGGGACGTCTGTCGCCGCCTCACTGCCGAGAACAGAACAGATCACCGTGAGGAGCCAGCAGCCCGTCCGCTTCATCCTCACAGTTTCCTCACGGTTGTCTTCAAGTCCAAAAATTCTCCCTGACAGATCAGGCTGGCTGTATAGTAAAGTACAAGAAGGAACACAACTGAGGGGCCTTTTCTGGTTATCGAGGCTTTACAAAAACACGGTGCACAGACTATGAAGCAAGGTGAGATGTAATTAATGTCGAACTAGTTCTGCTCTGCCTTATATCGTGTTGTTGGTTTGATCCAAGTTTTATTCATGAACAACTCACACAGGAAGAAACGTGATGTGTGGTTATTAGGTTAATAAGTCTGGCCTCAGTAAGTCATCAGTTTATAACGATATCAGAAACCAATTATTTTATACCATCGTGTCCAAAATGCACCCTTACGTCCACTGCTATTCCCTGCTACAAAAAAAATTACTTACTAAACTGAGTCAAAGAATCCAGAAGTGGGTAAGTCCGTCTCCCACTGCATCAAAAGAAGAAGTCAAATTCAGAAAAATTAGTATCACGTATGTTGTAGAATGTAGAGGTATGATATATTTACGGATTTGTAAAGGAGGGGTAAAGATATGAAATACTTAAACAAGTTACACAGTTTTTGAGAATGATAAACAGTTGTTGCTAGAGGTATGTTTAAACGTTTGACGATGTGTTTAAGAAACCTTGCAAAGGCGTAGATGTACATGTACAATGTAGTATAGGTCATTGTCCGTTTCAGAGATCTACATGTATATGCATGAGACCCAGAAACCTAGAATGTTTGTTTGTTGCTGCTAGGTAGTTGAGTCCCAGGCTTCCTTCACTTTCCGGCACTGGAAATCCCTCTAAGGCGTTCATCCTTACTCTTTTAATAGATGATTTTCTGCGCGCGACCCAATGACAATATAAAGCATATAGAATCACGTACAACAGCCTCAGGTTTGATTCCGGAATTCCAGTTTATTTCCGGACTAATTTCCATGTCTCAGTAACTTACATCTAGATGGGCTAACATCGTAAATTATAGGTAACAATGATGTAAGACATACGTAACAGCCATCGAGGACCCCTTGGGGATTAACCCAATTCTGCAGAATTCTGGCTTCAGTTCCTAGAATTCTGCAGAATTGGGTTAATGCCCAAGGGGTCCTCGATGGCTGTTAGGTATTAAGTACATTATTTTAGCCATGTATATTTTACGATATTAGCCCATCCAGACGTAAGGTTACTGAGATCATACCGAAACCTGTCCTTGGTGCTGAACGCCTTCCACACACTGTGGGCATGTGTCCAAGGTATCCCAATACCAAATTTCAGGTCATCGGATTTAATGCCAGGGCTCCAGATCCCAATATGTGCATTTTTTGCCTGAAAATGGCCAAAAAAAGATTTTTAAAGCCCGTATCAAAGAAATGAAAAAAAAAAACTGGGGGTATTTGGACACTCGACAAATAATAACTCGAGTGATGGTGGCCATTGCATGGATCAAAAGCGACCCCTATTAATCGGGTGCAGCACTATGATAACTGGTCCTAGATGGGGCATAGATCTTGGTATAGTACAAACCATCTGGAAGACCACACAGACTCGATTTTATGACATCCTCTTGGCAGCCCATGCTCAACACATACCGGCCCTGTGACACCGGTCGTGTCAGCGGTTCCCCGTAGGCTTTTGGTAGCGGTACAAAAGGACGTGACTAGGCTTGGTTAACATTCTCTACATGCAAGTCTTATTTGAAACTTTTAGAGTTTATTGGGGTCCACACTTAGCATGCATTGCATTAGCTATTCTTCCTGAATTCCTTTGAAATGGACCCTGTAAAAAACCAACGTGCGCTGACGGGCCGTCCTCTGAGCAACCTAGAGATACCGGCCTGCCTACCACCATTTCAGACAATAAGAGCGAAAATCAATCAAATGAGAAAGCCAGTCAAATACAGGGACAGGTTTTAATATTGTCATCATATACAATCTCAATATATATTGCACAACATGGACCATAATTTTGACAAAATGTCAATATATGACTAAACTACAGTTCCACATATCATCTTGTCTAATTTTTCTTCAGTTCTCACAAAAATACATCGAAAAATAATCATGTACCTGTTTGACAATAATCATTTTCCCTATTTTCTATAATGTTAGCACAGCAAGCATTGTATGAATGCAGTGTCTACATAGCATAAAGACTACTGAACATTACTTGTGATCTTATTTTCTATCTGAGCCTAGTTGTCATATATGCTTCTCAACTGTTATAATATAGTAGTGCTAAATGAAGGGGCTACAGTTGTTGGAATAACAAAGTATAGAACATTTTTGAGTCAACTGCAATGCTCTAGCAGCTTATAAGGAATACAGCTTTGATCTAGTGACCGCATACACTAAGATATCATGTATGTAGGAATACTGCATATTGCAAGACATTGCCTAGGATCCATATCTATATATCTATACTTTATCATAGAGGCACACTATAGCAGAGAAGACTAGTACCTAGATCTTTCACTGGCTATAAATGTCTATCTACAGTCACATTACAAATCTACATTTTATGACAGCACCAATCTTGCCTGAAGTATATTTCCACATCATCATCGACATATGACACATCAACCATGTAAAAAAACAAACCTTACAAATCACCACGTTACATTTCTGCAATGTACTGATTGATAACAAATGCAACATCACGTTTTCGTGTTACATATCCTGGCAAGATAGAAGCCTCACATGGCAACAAAATGTTTACCGATAGTCGTAAAACTGTATACTGCACTTACAGATGACAAATAGAATCTCATTCACATTTTCAAGCCTTGAAAAATATGTTTACCATCAACCTGAAACAAAACTGCATACTTACAGAAAACAAATAAAACGTTATATTAATTCATCTTGTCAGAGAGATTATAACTGACAGGTTTTTATATTTCAGACGTACAATGTACACATAGTTAAGGTAAATTTCTAATCTTTTATTTAATGTATGCAACATTTCTTTTTGACTGCTTGACATGGAATATTCGAAGACAATGGGATCTACAGCTTTTCTATACTACATTGAGTTTATGTCTGCCTGGCTATGAAATTGATTGCCCCATTGAGAAGCCAATGTTTGATAACCTTACTTTATAGGTAAGGCCATTTTGATTTGATTATATGGATGACATCCTCTGGGAACCCCAAAACTGATGCGCGCGTGCGAATAAAAAAAAAGTTTTGCAAAAAAAAAAAGTTGCTTTCACTACGAAATCTACGTGGTCATGAAGGTTGAACAAATGGCACAGAATATGTTATGGTGAATAATCTACTCTTCGAATTCATTTCTTTACATTTTTGTCTTTTTTCCTTTGATTTTGCCATTCTACGACATTGGTATCGTTTCTAAATGTTTTCCTTGCAACTTATGGTATATTTTTGCTCATTTAGCAACTGTTTTGCACGATTGACAGTATGGTTGAAAACTTTTTTTTTTTGGAAACGGCCGAAAATTCATGCGCGCACGGATGTCATCCATATAATCAAATCAACATGGCCTTATGTCAAAGACAATATCATTTGAATGTATGTAAAGTATTAAACTTTCCTCACAACAATGTATCAAACAGGAAAAGAAGTTTTGATAATACTACAGTCTGTAAAATAGAATGTCTTGGTTTCCTTGTGTCCTAAAAAAGTCTTTCTAAGAAATAGCCAGAGTGCCTCCTAGAACCTCCACTTTCAAACGGAATGTCCACATGTAAAAATCCATCCCACACTTTTGTTACTCAAATCACTTTGATATGTAGTGAGGAAGTCTTGTTTATTGAGTAGTTATACTCCATTGAGGCCACACCAATTTAACTTGTTGGTTCTCGTTTTTTTTAAAGATATGCTTTGCTGGAAAACCAAAACAAAGCTTGGGGACTAGGTTGATGGGTACACTTAATTTTATGGATTGAATACTGTCATATTAAAGTTTTCCTCCCTGTCCTCTGCTTTTATGATGCCAACTGGCTATATTTCCACCTTGAAATGTCTGTGAACCAAGGAAATAAACTGGTGTGGCCTAATAAGGAAGTCCTGCGTGTCAAGTATTTAAACTCCCCTGAAAACAACTTTTAAAATCCTGAGGAAATCTCAGTCGGTACTGAAATTTTCATCTCTTTGGTGGGTTGAACAGCGGATATTTGTTAACTCTCCTGCTACTAACAACTTGTAAACTGGAATGACCTAAGAGCTACAAATGGCCTATGATTTCATCATTTTCTCATGATGAGTAGCTATGTAGCTACACTTAATAGAGTTGGAAAGTCTCTAAGAATTTGGAAAATCTATTTGATTTCAAGCCTTTGTTTTTAACTAGTTGCGGAATGTACGGTCATTTCAAGAAGAGGGTGTACCTTTGTCCTAGGGTTCTACAACTAGAATGACATCAGACTATACTAAAGAAACGACTGTCAATACAAAGTGGCACACAGTTCATGATTCAGTAGTGAATATCAGTAAAAGAACAACCGCACACATTTGGCAGGCTCCTGCCTAACACACACCCCTGGGTGACTTCATGATCACTCCTCAGGCATTCAAAGAGCTTGCATTCAAAGTGCCCTGACAATCTAGCTTGACCTCCTTTCTATTTTTCACAGAACAGGATCTACCTCATTGTGATGTGCTGCAGTCAGTGGAGCAAATCAGCAGAACATATTTCTCTTGTGCAAAACCATGGTTTCTGCTAGATGTTTGGTCAATGTTGCATCAGAATTTTGTTCTTTGCGCAAGATATCTTTTTCGACACATTTGAAAACTACAGACAGTATATCATCCTTAGACAATACGCTCTGTAAAAGTGCTATGCACATTACATACCAGGTTTCGCGCAGCCGTAGCATGTTCCGCTGACGTGCTAGTCAAAGGCCAGATTGTCAGAGGCACTTACAGTGACAGCTGTGCTGAAGCCTGGTAAAGGGAATCCGACCTTGAGGTGTTCACAAACTGTGATGTGCAGCGTGTCCCGCTGCCTGCTGTGTCACACTGGCCGTGTCACACGTCGGGCTGTCCCCACCGGACCACAGCAGGTAGATCAGCACCAAGGACAGCGACAACAGCAGAACAACCAGCAGCTTCTGAAGGCGCAGAGACTGGGACAGGTTCTCCTCCAGACGCTGGGACGTGCTGGAGATGGTGCCGACCTGGGAATACAAACAAAAAACAAAAAAACTTTAAGGTAATCCCAAAGGAGGGTCTGCATGGGGGGGGGGTAGTGATATGACTTGTGCAAAATTTTCACTGCCGATTACTGTAGAATTAAAACAACAAACTACGTGTTATGACTGATGTACTGATTACAAATTATGTTGATTTTGGCTGATTGCCTATTTAGCTACAGGTTATGAAGACTGGGAAGCCTTGATTAAGCCTTACAAAAAAGGATATGCAGGCCCTCACAAAGCCTTCTTTGAGACAGTGGGTTGTTGATCCACTGTGTCAATGGCACAGTATAGGAAGGTGGAGCCCATCCCTCTACTTTCACCACCTTTTAGTGAGTTTACAAAGTTAGGTACCAATTTTACACCTGGGCGGAGTGACGTAATTGCTCAGGAGCAAATACAGCATATTTCAGTCCATTTAGTCTCTCCCCATTCTAAAATGGACCGTTCCATATCGTGTTTCAATACCCCTAGTTGGTAACAATTGTTCTTGAAGCCCCTATACAGTGCTTTTCAGTGTTAATAAACCCCATGTAGTTCTTTTAAAAAAATGAAGTAAAGAGGTTCTGTACCGTCATGGCGAGGTCTCGGACCTGTTTCTGTAGCCGTGCCATGTCTCCCTGGGGTGTGGCCTCCTGAAGCTCAGCCGCCTCCTGGGTCAGGTGGGTGCATCTCAGTCTGTAAACAACCAGTAAACAACAGTGAATTATATGATATCATTTTTTCATCAAGGTTGGCAATAGACATGTACATTAAGGTTCTTTATTCAATAACCAAGGGTTCACACATACAATGTTTTGGATGTACTGTAGTGACCAATATGTATATCGTGTGACAACACTCTACGACTGTATAGTTTGTAATATTGCAGCAGTGACACCTAGCTGAATCTTGCCAAGTCATTCTTGCCCTAAAGAAGGGGACAGATGGTCATCGAAACATCGGATGTGTAAACCCCTACTTGTTGGATAAAGAACCTCCTTATACAGAGACAGTGAAAAGTTCTTAGATAATAACTGGGAAAATCAACAACATAACCATATTTTCTGGTACAGAGAGGCAGGGTTCATGATACATATAGTGTCTAACCTATGCTCCATGACAGAGTGCATACTGAGTTGTGCAGTGCCTAACCTGTGCTCCATGACAGAATGCTTACTAAGTTGTGTAGTGCCTAACCTGTGCTCCATGACAGAGTGCTTACTGAGTTGTGTAGTGCCTAACCTGTGCTCCATGACAGAGTGCATACTGAGTTGTGTAGTGCCTAACCTGTGCTCCATGACAGAGCCCTTAGCTGCAGACTTCCAGAGTGCTGTCAGCTCTGCAGAGTTCTTCACCTCCTGTTGAACCTCCATGGACAGCACCAGGAACTTGTCACGAGATGTGGATGCCTGATGACCTATCGGTACAGATGTGTTTGGAATAAAAATGTACATTAAAAAAAACCTAACGGTTAAGAACAACATTAAACATACTAGGTCAAGCTTACAAAATTCATCTTTTAGAGAAAACACATAGTGACGTCCACATGGTACTGTTAATAAAGGACAATATGTGCTGTAAAAGCAAATGCATATTGTCTCCACATGGTCTAGCCTAACACACTACTGCTCTGTTCATTCTTACTTAGACACATCCATATATGATATGGTGAACAGCTGCCAACTCTGTCCTGCCACTTGATACATAATGTTACCCAACATGTTACCATACACTACAGCACCAATTACCATGGGGACAGCCACCTGTTGCAGGTTATTGACCTTAGTTGTTTGTAATGGTAGAGGAAGCAAAAAACAATGCATTTTTCATTTGCGATTTTCCATTTGCCAAGGTAAACAAAAACAAAAAGAAGTGTGCCTTGAGCACTCACCAGGCTGAAGAAAGACATTGACATCCACAGACACTCCAGGTGCAATTGGTCCTGAGCTGGGGCGCACACGGTACTTCTCAGGTGACGTTGTCTTCACCTATACATTTGTACATGTATGTTATCAAGAGACAGGTCAATTTTTTAAGAGGTGTCAAAATTTAACCCATTAACATTTATCAGCTGGGACACATACCGGTATATCTGTACTTTGAAAAAACGTGTCTTTGAAAGATCTGTAGTGCAGCATCCCCCATGTTTGGACAGTTTAGATGTACAAGAGTGTATTTTACTCAAGAACATTGCATTGCAGGTCTGTTTAGTTTTCGAACGTTCTAAGCAAAAGCAAGTCAGAGTACGTCCATACCTTGAAAGCCACAGTCCCGGCTGTGGTGTTGGTGAGAGTTAGGACCTGCTGTACTTCTGCACCTTCAGCATTCACAAACTCCAGCATATCTCCAGGACTGAAGGACACAACATTGTCATAAATTGACCTTCAGCACAATGAAGTACACTTTTGGCACAAAATATCTGTATAAAATTTTGGTCCTGGAGTTAGGCAGCAGGGAAAAGGTTAAAATCTCTCACTCAGGCATACGTCACATGTACAAGATGTACATTATTGCAACATCAGAAAGATTTGCACAGCCCAGCACTTTAAACAATCTTGAAATCAGAGATTTATAAGAAACTCAAAGTGAAGACACCTTACCATATCTTGAGAAGTTGTCCTTGATGCGCTGTTGTCTCTGCTGACCGCTTGCTTGAAGACAGCAGCTGCTGTACCTGTCGATGTCTGCTAGGTGGTGTCAGTGGCTGTGGTAAAAAAATAATCATTATTAAAATAAATAATGATTTCTTGGTTTCCCATGCTACAATTCAATTCAATTTTTTACTTCCAGGACAGAAACTTTGTTTTGGGTGGTGCTAGTTTAAGGGGAGTTTGTTCCTTATCATGTCCTGTGGAGCAAGGATTGGATGTGACTGGGTGGAGATTGGGTTCCAACTGATTGACAGGGTTATGACCCAGTATGCCCTGGGTGGCAGGATGTGGTATGATGTCACCAGAAATGTATACTGTGTACTCATGGTATAGAACATAAGTAAGTAACTTACATCATACAATCATAAGTCATCTACCTATGATGTAATTCAATCGGGTATTACTGTAGCCCATGATCATACAATATATTCCCAATACATTCACAGAAACGCAAAACACTTCACAGAACTATGAATTTTTTGTTGTTTTTTGCTATTTCCTTGGTGCTCAAGAGATTGATGCTACACAACAGAATTAAGGTTACTTAAAAAAAAGCAAGAGCCTAACGTAACTCCTCACCCCTTTGTCGGACTTGGTGTCCCCTCCTGCTGCACCAGAGTCACTGTGTCTTCTCCGCACGCTGTCTTTTGTATCTGCTGAGAATGTCACCTGTACACATGTTCATCCAAAACACACGTTTGTAACAAGCCAATTTAAGTGTTATGCAGTCTGGGGTCAGGTATTTACGGCTGACGGCTTAGTAACTTTACTTAATTGTAACCCAAATATTATATTTAGTAGCATACTTGTGCTGTATTTGTATTGGATTGCATTGTATTATATTGTGTCATACCAGGTAGCAGTAGCAATGAAGTCACATTAAGTATAATTTCTACATGTGTACCTTGTTTGACCATTAGTATGAGAGCACTAGAAGTTGCTAGAACCAAATCCTACCAAACTAGGATTGTTATGGTATTAGGATTTAATTTACATTGTCACAACACACATCTATCATTAGGTTACCACAGATGTAACAGTCATTACTTTTAATCAGTGCAGACTATGAAGTGCAGTAATTTTACAGTAGGATTAGAATTAGTTTAGTGCAAGTGGCTATTTTTACACCCATGGTATCTGCAATTCTCAGAGACCTTCCCATTGGCAATCACTGACCAATCAAAGCCAAGTATACATAGGTGCAATATGGACCTTTCTGGTGCTCGGGTTGTTAGTGACCTCCCCATTGGCCCGTACCATGTTGGGAGACTCCGGAGGGGTGCCCCTGGGTGTGGAGGGGTTGGGCAGGTCATCATCAGGCAGGGGTGGGTATGTGTACTGGAATGTGTCCTGTATGGAGGGAAATAAAACACAATCTGAAACTCACATTGAAGGTTAGACATCCAGGTAAACAACACTCATAAACAATTCAAACTCCACTACTGGATAAATCTATTTCGTCACCTACCCGCCATTTTTATCTTAATATTTTACTACCATTTATGCGGATATGATGTAGTAGTTAGACACAATGTAAACAGTCCATGTACATCAGCAATGGCTGCAAAGTGAAATCTGTGTATATGAAGCAAATAAAAAATAAACCATTATTATAAATTGCAGAGATTACATGTACTTCTGGATGCTCTGAGTGATATCTCATCATCAAGTTGTAACTACATTGTACCTGTATGTCTGCATGTTTTAATTATCTTCAATATGTATGTTTTTACCTGAAGGATGTAAGACTAGCCACATGGCTATACTAAAGGGTATGGAAATGAAATAAGCGAGCACAACTCACCATGCCTCCCATACGGGTGGCCAGCTGGTCAGGTGCGATGTACTGCTGAATCTCATTTCGGTTCACAAACTTGATCTTCTTGACAGAATCTGGCGGGAGCCACGTTTTGATGATCTTCCAGGCAGCTAAAGAGATGAAATACACCAGTTGTTCTTTTTTTTATTTCCATTTTCTACTATTCTGTGGATGTTCAAAGACTTTCCGCGTCATTATATCCTGCACTATGGATTGATAGATTTGCTCCAAGGTACAATTCTCAATTTGTGTGGACTATCCAGAACTGTGCCTGAGCATGGTTCTGGATAAAGCTGGATTCTGGAAACAACAGGTTCCCCTTGCCAATACAGTGCCCTAGACAAAGTGGACTAACAACCCATGGCCACTGCCCCTATACATTGTAGCTACAGCCTTGAAAAAGCTACCTTTTTTTACCTTAAGTTTATTAAAATCTTTGAGACATGCTTGTACATGCATGTATAGGGCAGCAATGTGGACACTTACTGTTGAGAATCCATGGCATCTCATAGACCAGTAGGTAGGCTGTGGAAAAGAAATCAAAGTGGTCATGAAAGACTATTCAGACCTGTATTTTGAGTCTGAACTGTTATGTGGCATTTGTGTTTGAATTCTAGCTGTTAAAAGGAATCCAAATTCCATTTCTAGGTCAGTAAAACAAAAAATATTCTGGATGAGGAAATATGTCTGATATTGACATTTACTATCATTTCTATGCATATTTTTATCATCATTTCATACTTGAAGCATTTGAAATAGCCCCAAAACAAGCTACCTTTTTGGTACCACCAATACATAGCTAGAACCAGCCTAAGATACAAAACCCTTTTTCCGTCAGACATCGCATGTGGCCTAATGAAGAACTCACCAAGCTTGTTAGGGAAGTAGTTCTTGAAACAGTTGATTAAGAACCTAATAAAGTCCATATCCTGTAAGAGAGCAAAGTTTTTGTTTATGTTGGACAAGGATATTAACAAATTTAATAGCACACCTTGGGAGCAAAAACAAAATTGTTATACTAGTGTCTCAATGTTCGTCTACTGTAATACAAAACCTATCTCCAATGCAGCAAAATAAAATATGATGATCACAACAAGAGACTTGGAGAAACAGCTGCTACAGTAATAAATAAAATGAACCAAGGAAATAAAAGGGTCTGACCTTTAGTTTTTTACTGTGAATTTTTAGGGTAATACAAATTTAAGGTACCTTCATTTAACTACATAATAACCGAGTTCCAAGGGAGCCCTCGATAAATCAACAAATTGATAGCAAAGATAGGATGCAAAAGGAAAATGCTAATCCATAAACTTAACAAATCATATAAAATTGTGCGACCTTCAGGTCAACCCACCATATTGCCCAGCCCTGATTCTATCATGTCAAACAGGATGGTCATCTGTTTCCCAGGGTTCCTTGTGCTCAGTCTCTCCAGCCAGAACACCAGAAACCGACACAGTTCCTGGTACTTAGACGAGTCTTTCTTGTGCAGCTTTGCAACAAATACCACTGGAGAACAGGGAAAAGTGGACTTTGAAAATGCCACAAAATGCATAAATTGATCTCATTATAGGGCTCAAAATATTTTTGAAGATTACCAACCCAGACAAATCCCTAGAAGTCAGTTCTGGCGTCGATACTGCCAGTTGGTAAGCAGACCTTAAATAGTCCCTGTTTCTTTTATCCTAGACATTGTATTTTTTTATGTATTTTGTGTTGTCTATGTTGTCTATGGGCTCTGCCTGAATCAAACAATAAATAAATAAAATAAATAAATCTTGGCCTAAACCACTTCATACTAAAAGGAGATTTTACTTGAGTATGATCAAGCTAGAAACTGAACTAGAAACCATTTTGAATTCTTTACATAGAATTTTTTAGGTTGGTGCAGGTTAGATACATGTATATTAGGTAGACACCAGCTCCAATTTTACTAGCACTAACCTGCATAATATGCAGGTGGTATTTCAGCCCTGCACTAACAAAGTTGGGATGTCAATGCACAATCCACTCATTTTGACAGATAAATGCAATACAGCCTTTCATTTCCTTTATTTGTTGTTGATAATGCTTCATCTTGAAATGTCTGAGATGTAAAGCCCTTTCATGACATATCTGACCCAGACACATCCCCAGCAGTAAATTTGCATTCATTCATATCATAGTTCCAAAGCTGCAAAACAAAATATGATGAACACAACACAAAACAGCTGTCCTAATATTTATTCAACCCTTTTATACCTTTGCAGAGATAAACAATAAGACCTTTTGTGTATCAGTGAAGTCTGTAGCCTGCATTACATATAACAGCCCTTTAGGCTAAACCTGTCTTTGTGTTCTCACACTAGAATCACCTCTGTACACTGATCAACGACAACTGTGTTGAGCGGTGCCCTGGGGCATGCATGTCTCATCCCTGACATACTGCGAACTCATTCTCTTTCATGGTTGTTTTATTTTGCCTAGGGAGGTTTTTAATTTGTAGTTGAAAGAATTCTGTAGTATAGCAGTCATACAAGGGAGGCACATTCACAGAGTTATGAATTTGTAGCTAAGAAAACAAACCCATTGCAAAAGTTTCAAGAATTACAGTAATAAAGACTGTAAGTTATATACATTACCTTTTGCCTCTAGGGAAGGCAAGTATAAAAATATGTACATGAACCACATGTGTATGCAGGATAAAACCTGGAGGCACTCAAGGCCAGGTTCTGTTACTAAAATACATAAATATCCACCTCATCTGTCATGGGATGTAAGTTCAGAGTGAACCCATCACCCAGCAATGCCCTCTACTGGGCGAGCATGAAAAATGGCATTCATACATTCAAGTGGAGTGTGTTTTACTTTGAAAGAAGAAATTTTTTTTTTTTAAATGTAGACACAGGCTAATATAGGAATCATGGTTTGGTGGCATTTTTTTGATACAGGTCTTTAAAATGGTTTTACTGAGATTTTCACATACTTCTATGTTTATTGATAAGCGATCAATCTGTCAATGACTTACAGATAGCATGCCCCTCCTTGTCCTCATTGTGTGCGAACATGGCTCCCTTCTCAAACATGGACACAGGCAGGCTAGACTCACTGATGTCTGGAAAAAATTAACACATCAAAACAATCTTGGGCAAGAATAGATATGAGTTCTGTTTTGAGTTCTACATTCTTGTCATGCTGTAATGTCATATCATATTCTAAGGCTTGTTATTGTTGACTATTGATAAACTTTTAGCAATTAGAGAGTGCATGAGTGAGTGTGTAAGTGCGTGAGTGAGTGAGTGGGTGAGTGAGTGAGTGAGTGATAGCATATCACACATTTTCATGTAACTATCCTGTCTGTCTTTATCTGTATCTGTATAGCCAGTACAACACCTACAGTATAACACGCCAGCTTAGTAGGCATGCAATATTACACCAAACAGCTGCAGTGAAAAGAAACACAACTTACCATAAACTCCGAACTCCTTCCTCCACTTCAGCGCGCTGACCAGCATGTCGTAGGCTGCCTCAGGCGTGGGGCGGGCCAGCAGGAAGTTCTGTAAGTACTCATCGTCCTTCCTGACCTTGGCAATGTCCCGAGGGTCAAACAGGTCGTTCTGTGTAATGGCATCTGTGGAAACACATTAGAACAACATGTCAGACACAACTGCAGGTGAGAACCTAATGGTTCTGTGGATTAATCCTTGGGGGAATATAATAAATCACTGATCATGGAAGTTCATCTACATGTATGTTGGTAATGATCATAGTACAATGGTGAACGTTGGTCCAACACAAGAGTACACAAGGATAAAATTTTTAATGGCTGGTCCTGTGTACCAGTATACAGCCATAGGTAAGAGCTAGACTTCTTCCCAGTGAATTTGGAATGTAATGTAAGTCACAATTCTTTTCGCTGTACATGTACATTTATATTCACGGTTTTCGCTGTCACTTCTGTACCACAAATTTATCATTACTGTGAACAAATAATTTGCCAACTTTTCTTTTTTTCTGCACCTGAAACAATCAAGAACGTATAGTTCTGGCAAACATGTTTTCTCAGACTGCGAAATTTTGCTACCGTGAAGATAAAGTGATTTACAGTCTAATTATCAAACATGACCGTGTGTCGATGTCTGCAATGTGTCTGGTAATAACATAAGCTACCAGCAGACAGGGGACATTAATCATCTAAGGACCAGGGATGTTTCTTGTCTGGTGGTTTTTAGGAACAGAAGAGATCAATGTGTGTTGGCAGACAGATTTAAGATATACAACAGAATAAAAGTACAGAGTCCTCTCTGAGTTGTATCAATAAACTTTACTGCATAACAATTGTGTTAAATACAACACAGCACAGTATAAGTAACACCACAAGAATTTCTGCAATTGATATTGAATGATCAATCGAATGATGTAAATGTTGAATGATGAAGATGTTGAAAGCAGGCAGAACTGTGTTTTAGGGTATATTTGTAAGAAATATAAAAAAGGTATAGATAGTAGAGTGTGTTTTTTTCTGTTTTGTTTTTCTGATGAAAAAATTAACACATATGCTGTCCTTGGTGCTGAAAGTATGGATATCATAACTTCCCATCAAAAAATATCTACTCAAAATTGTCTACTGGTGGCTGTGGCCATATAATGACTTGTCAGGACTTCACTGTAGCTCTAGGTGGCAAATCCCATTTTCCAATTACATGCACTTTCCTTCATAAGATAGACCTTGTGGGTATAATATTTCTTCTGATGAAAAATTCACTACCTAGAGCTACAGTTAAGTCCTGACAAGTCATCATATGGCCATAGCCACCAGTAAACAATTTCAAGTAGATGCTTTGGATGGAAAGTTATTATATCCATATTTTCAGCACCAAGGACAGAGTACGTGGGATAATGTTTGATAATGTCAAAGTAAGGCCACACTCATGCACTCATTATTGCTTTGAGAAAATTGAATGATAAAATTACAAAAAGGATAGTAGACATTTAAAAATAGATTTAGGATTAGGGTTGAATGAATAGAAACTGTTTGAATACAAAATTAAATCAAATTTGGACCACCGGTCCAGCATTATGCAAAAATCATAACTTCTCTAAATGATTAATGATCTAATGTGGTAATCAATTTTTATGTCAAATGACATAAATTTATTATCACAAAATATGCAATTTCATCAATAGCCATTCAGCCATTTTTTAAATGTTCTTCAGCATTTCAGTGAATTATAGAAATCTGAAAAACAAGCAAATGACATGCTACAGCCTTATTCAGTTCATTGAAGTTACCACATGAAATGCAAACATCTCATCTCACCCTACATTAACACACACAGATGGATTCAGCCCTGTGAGCCCTTAATGGTTTAGGCTTGGATTACGTGCTAATGACAAGATAGCAGTAATCAATGAGAGGAATAGAATCCATCAACAGCTACAACAGACCATATCGGCACCAGTATGGTTACACTGAAATTAACTTTATGTACAGCCAGTAAATTGTATTTCCTTCTCCTAATGTAGAAATGGGAAATACATGTATAAACTAATGGCATGCTGATTTGATTATATGAATGACATCCGCACGCACATTGTTTTGTCCATTTCCACACAAAAAAATAAATAAAGGTTTGAACCATACTGGTTTGATTAAAAGTTTGAAATTCATTAGCCTCAGGTTAGCAAACCTATTTCAGCTCTGCTATTTGTGGAGAGGAGAAAGACTTGGGAGCTCAAAAAAGGTTTGGTACCCAGGCTAAAATTTATTGTTTGAATTACAAACCAGCCTGATATGTTAACTTCATGGCATTTGGGTTTATTGTATGGTGTATAGCCCTGACACGTCATAGTTTCTATTAAAAAATCCAAGAACCAACAAAATAAATTGGTGTGACCTTGCTTTAAAAATAAATTATCGCCTATGCTGTCCTTGGTGCTGAAAGCATGGATATTATAACTTTCCATCTTAGCATATTACTGGAAATTGTCTACTAATGGCCATTGGTGTGTAACTCAGACAACAGAGTAACCAATCTCCATATATAGACATGTATGGCTGTCAATGTTTGCTCCCTATGGAAACAGCTTTTTCTCCAATGGTTTTTAGGAAATTGTTTTTGGAAATCACACAATGGTTACCATAATTTTTGTAACATACTAGTAATTCCACCAGGTCACATATATCTGTCAACCTGAAAAAATTCATCTAAAGAGATCACCAATGCAACATACCCCCATAAAATGCACTGCTGCATATCTAAACTGTGCATTACTGCAAAGTGCTGCACTAGAGACCTCTCAAACACACTGTTTCTGTCACGATAGTCATGGATGAAAAGTAGTGGATGCTACTTGAATGCTACTTGAAACATCTGACCGTTTTCAAAATATATCCCGTTGCTTGAGTAACAGTTTTCTTGCTTTTTTGTGGTGTAGCAGTGCTCTAGCCAGCCTGAATAATATTTTTTGTCATCTCAATTTTGTTTGACATAACATCAAGAATAGTGAATGCTCCAATGGGAAAATTTCAAAATCTTGACACTCTGAAATGCTATTTTCTGCATTTGAGGGGAAAATTTTGCTTAATTTAATGAAATCTCTTTCCATGTCTTTACATGCCAATTTGTGTCAAAGATGACTGATTAGGAAACGTCTGTCATGAGCAGCAAAATTCCCTCAAATGACGGAAATAGGGATGGACACTGAGTTAGAACACTGGGTTAGACAAATGTTAATGGAGGTTACACCTTTACAGTTCTTCTTGTTCACTGTACAGTGGATGAAACAAGTAGATAACCCTTCAGCACAAAATCAATAAGAAAACAGACATGTGACGGCGCTGTAGATGTCAGTGTTGCTCAAGGGCCCTTCTCTGGCTGTCCCCACTGGGATCAAAAGGAGCTAATGTCAGTCTGGAGGGTTTGAAATACATTTTCTTCTCAGTGGGCAACCTTAACCAACAGCTAGGTTGCCCATCAATATTTCAGGTATATTTCATAGTACCAATATCGCCAGTGGACATATAAAAGCAGAGGAAACAGAGGAAAACTTGAGTATGACTGTATTCAATCCATAAAATTGAGTGCACCGAGCCAAAGAAATGGTCCTCAAGCTTTATGTTGATTAAGTTCTAATTTAGATATTTTCATTATGTTTTGATTTTTAGTTCTAGAAATTTTACCCCCAGGGAAGTAGAGGTCCTTCTGCAAAGGGGTTCTATTTTTGGTTGATGTTTGTGTGTTCTCAGCTATAACTCAATGGTGGATTACTAGGAACACCTGCTTTACTTGAAATGGCCTGAAAATCCCCAGACTTTTGTCTTGCATTTCCTTTTTTTCAAAGCAGCCCTTAGGAGTTCCAGACAAAGTTATTTCATCCCATTGTAACCTGACACATCTACAGGCAGACAGTGAAGGAGAGCTCCCATATGGTACCAGCTCACATTACATCAATCCTCCCTCTTATACCTTCATCTTGTCCCAAAGATGATGCTGTTATCATCAGTTGTAGCAGCTAATGGCATCTCCAGGGCTTTTGTAACACAGACTGGGAGTGATAATAACTGATACACACTCTCATCTTATCTATCTTTGGTCTAATTATTTAAAGTGTGAGAAGCAGTTTAAGAAGTACATCAAAGCAAGCCGACATACACAGGAAAAATGTGACGTGCACGGTTTTTGTGCAGTCTGTGTAATTTCAGGTTTTTGCCCGCATGTAAATCAGTTCAAAAGACTACCACAGCTGGGATAGTCAATTTCCTGCTTTAAGAAAAACATCAGCTATACCCCCTGGCAAGTGCTACTCCCTGGAAATTTGACTAGGTTTGAAAAGCCAGCAAGACATTTTCTACAGTAAAATTCATCAAAGCCAAATCAGCATGACTTCACTTTCAGCTAAATGGATTCAAATCAACTCAGCCTGGGGGAATTATTTTCAATGACGTGTGTTTCCATATTGCCGTGGCAACCGTGTTGCCATGGAAATATCAGTACGTAATTGACTTTCATCTAAAAGCTGTCTTGTCGACGGTGTTTGATTAAACTTGAAAGGCAAACAAAAAAAATCAATGGCAACACCTGCAAACAAGGCTACACCCACCCTATCATATTAGGTCTTTTTTTGAAACTTGATGGCCGGTCTAGATTATTGGTTCCTTGGCGCCTGGCACAGCACAAAACACCTCATGCCTAACCTGTGCCAGGGCTGTAAATGATATCAGCGTATCGCTACATCTCCTCCAGCCAGCTGGATCATGGAGAGAGCTGAGGTTATCTTTCACTGCTTTCAAAGGGCGCCTCCAGCAAAGATCGCTGCTTATCCCCAGCTAAAGCTTGTAACGTGTAATACGTCAATGTCTGAATGTGACTAGGCATCCTGCCAAGTGTAAGTGAAAAGAGTGGACCTTACCCCTGGCAAAGTGCACAGCTGACACAATGTTTTATGGTTCTAAGACTGTGAATGATATATCTTAAGTACCATAAGCATTACACGCACTCCACCCTGCCTTTAGAAAAAAGGTAAGGCTATCGGTATCCTGTTTAAAAGGTGCCCTTTATTTAAAGATCACTGGTTATGGATGACTGCTTTTCTTATGATGTCTACAAGCACCTAGGCTTCGTGCCAAGCGCGGGCTGTGTTTTTTATATGTAGTCTGTGATATTTTAGTAATCTCTATACATAGCTCTTACATAGATGTATGGCTTTGTTCTTCTTGCAAATTAGCTTCTTTAGAGCATTTTATGCATATTTTCTCCCTCCCTCTCTCCTCCTCTCTTCCTCCTTCTCTCCTTCCCTCCCTCCTCTCATTCTCCATCTGTCCCTCTCCCTCCCTCCCTCCTCTTTCTCCCTCCATCCATCCCTCCTTTCTCCCTCAAGCTCCTTTCTCTCTTTCTCCTTTCCCTCCCTCCCTCTCTCCCTACATCACTCTCCCTCCATCACTCCTATCTCTCCTTCCCTCCCTCCTCTCTCCAACCATCCCTCCTTCTCCATCCCTGCCTATCTCTGCCTCTCTCCTTCTGTTTGCCTCGCCCATGTCCTCCTAAAGGACTGCCACGCAAAGCGCCGCAAAAAAAGGTGGAAAAAACAATCCAGCGCCTGACGTCTATTTTCAGATACAGCACGGCTTTACGCTCGCCCCAACACGCGAATGAAGCTGTACATGTTGGGCGGCCGCGATCATAACGTGACAACTGGAGCTTCTCGTGGTTAAAACGACCGCTGTCAAACAAGTCAAAGGTCGGACCCGCACGAATATGCCCTTGTCCTACCCTTCGAACAGAGCAGAGCCCCTGTACGCCAGCCCCTATGATAGAATATATTGATCGTGCAGCTGTGTGCTGGAAACAGTCCGTACAACGCTGTATAACAAAACGCGATTTTTTGAACCACTGATAAATTAGTAAGAAGAAAGCAGAATGGGTCTACTGACCGGATTGTTCACGGAGAAAACGCTCTCTCAGCTCTCGGATCTGCGCTTTCCGGTCCTGAAAATAAGACAGACACATTCAGATACGTGTCCGTGAACTTCTGCCAAACTCTTACCGCCAGTCACAATGAAAATCTCGAGAAAATCGAAGAAAAATCAGAGATCTACCTCTAGGCCGTCTGCTACTTCCGCCATGTTGGTCATACGATGTTTTCGGTCAAAGGTCACCCGGAAGTAGGCCCGTGCCGTGGCGGGAAACACAAGTCGATCAGCTGGCAGCCTGGTGCACAGGCCCTGCTTCTTTCAAAGGTTTTGACTGTTTTGCTGACGTAGTTCGTCCGATCTAGTCCATTTGCATCATCATGACTCCCCCAAGGCACCATCTAGTCTCCTACAAAGGACTTGTGGTCGAATTTCGCGAGGAAAATTCCCAGGGAGAGACTACAATCCAAGCTAGGGTTTTCAAAATGGACAAGACCTCTCACAAGTTCGTTCAAGTGTGCATGGTAAATAGTCCAGAACTTGGAAACTTGTACATCCTAACGGCTAAGTGTGTGACCGAGGAAAGCAGCGGGTCCGTCCTTCCGTGCGTTCTCTTCCGTAACTGCAAGGGGGACTCTGGGTCTCCTTGTGTGTTTCACACAGCATTTCTAATACTGGATGGAGAAGATGCAAGGTTCCTGAATGTTAGACGAATGTCAACATCACACAGCATGTGTCACAGCGATGTTTTGAAGACTTTCCAGCTCCTATCTGGACCGCAGCTCGCATATAGTTACCATGGAGATGTATACGTCACCCGTGACAAACAGAATAGTGGAACATTCCAACCTGTGAAGATCGCAACATCGACCTTTGACCCACTGTGGTGGGGAAAGCTGGGAAACACACTGGTTGCCATGGGAACAGAAGAGGACTCATCATCAGATCAACAGATGGACACAGGAGAGGAGGTCGTCGCCAACCTTGACCTTATCTGGGGTCACAAGTGGATGTACATTGCCATGGCAACTGAAGACGAAGACCTCAAGAAAAGGGACGGAAGCATCTTCGTTCCTCATCCCTACGCATGTGTGGCTAGGGCGGTGCACTTGTTAGAATACAGGCTGATCAAACAGACAATAGATGGGGATAATCCAGAGCAGGATGATGATGATGATGTCCACCAATCAAAATTGCTGTTAGCCACCAGTCAGGGTCAGCTGGCGGAGCTGGAGGATGGGGAGGTGAGGAGGATCTGTGAGCTGCCGTTCCAGGACCCGTGTGACGTGCGTGTGGCGTACGTCAGTGGAGGGGAGACGCTTGTACTTGTGACGTCAGCCACAGGAGGGGTGTGTGCAGTGTGGGGCAGCAACTTCAAGGTACAACTCTATGTAGCCCGTGAAATTCAAACAATTATAAACTGTTGATTGAATCACTGCATTGATGGATGAAAAAACTGTAACAACTAGGATGAAAAGGATGTATGATCCTTTTGGAGTTGATTCAGATCTTTTTTTGAAATCAGGAAAAACTGAAACAGGCGAATCCAAGAAATGGATTCAACTGGTGTGGCCTAAACAAACAGCCTTTTAGTTTTCAAAAGTGCATTAAGCTTTCTTATCCTTCTTTTGTTCCAGCCTGCAGGCCATTGGCCGGCTGCCCACACAGCCCTGACAGACTACTTCCTGTCCTGTGGGACCCAGCAGGTGCTGCTGTTATCTGGGAGGGGAGGAGACGTCTTTGAAGGTTTCCTCCTCACTGACCTGATGGGTTACAACATCACAGAACAGGTAAGCTTTTTGTCTTATAAAAAATACTGTAAAATGCATTTACTTTTGCAGTGATTTTATTTCGCCGTATCAGGGAATGGGAGGTTTTTGTGGTGTTAGAAGTTTACAGTTGAAACAATTTTCTACTAAAACGGAAATATAGATATGTATGATACTTAACTACCGGCACTTTTTTTACTTCTCACAGGAAGAGGAAGATGAGGAAGAGACAGATGTGTCTGGTACAGACAGGAACGTACCCATGCAGTCAGCTGTACAGGCCTTACAAGCCAGGCTATATGTAAGTCAGCTTTTAGGTCATTATTGCTAGTACGGCATGGTACAAATTATAGATTACCTTATGAAATGTCCAAGTCAGTTTTTAAACTGACTTGACTTAGAAGTATTTGTGCCATTTTTTATCCAATCCAAAGTGTAAATATGCTTTGAATCTTAGGAAAGTATATTTATTTGTTCATTTGCATGTATGGCGAAAAGATTTTGTAACTATTACTGATAAAGTAGTTGTGCTTTACAAGGCTATGTAAAGATTTGAACTTTCTCCCTCCAGAGCGAAGGTGATTTTTAATCTGTTTTGAATCCCAGGAGAGCCAGACATCTCTGGAAGATCTGCGGTCCCTGTCAGCCCAGAAGGACAGAGTGATTCGGCAGACGTGCACGGCTCTGAGAGCCATGGTCCTACAGACTGGCCGCATCACTCAGGCCACTCTACCAGATGATGTGAGCTCAGTCCCTTCTTGGTTATCCACACAATGTCCATTTTTTTCCTTTAGTTGCTATTATTTGTTCAAAATAGAGTATGCATTGATATTGATATTGATATGCATCTCAATTGCCCTGTGATGTTTATGTTTACCGTCGGAGAAGGAAATCATTGTTTTTGCTCCATTTCCTCCTCTTCCGTTCCAAACAAACTGGTTCTGTAGCAGCTTATGTGATGTTAGATTACATGTACATTATGTAGCAAGAGGCAGGACAGAGCTGGAGGGGCTGGTCACCATTGTTGCAAATGTTACATCTCTAGTCTGATTTCTTTCTTGTTCTTTTATATTGCAGCCCTCCCTTGTATGCCTGTATGACGGACAGAATGGTCGCACCAGTGGTGATCAATTGCCCCCCTCTCCATCCCTGCCGGGCCCCATTACAGTAGTGCAAGTCTGGCAGAGACTGGTCCTGGACCAATGGGTGGTCGGGTTAGAGATCAGCAACCAGTCAGACAGGTAGTGATCTTAACTTTTCTTTAGTCATTTTTATTTTGTTTGCATTTATTTATCAACGGTGGCCATGTGGTTTGGAATGTTGACTCGGAATCTGAAGGTTCTAGATTCGAATTGAATTTTCCTTTCTTCCTTTTTTCCAGGACTTTGCGAGATGTTCGCCTTGCCCTAGTTAGACATGACAGAGTTAAAACTGGTGTCATTAAGAGTTCAAGATGGGACACCACAGAATCCACATCCTCATGTAGAGTTGTTCCAAGAATCCCTCCCTCAGAAAAATCAGGCTCAGAAGCAACTCATGTCCAATCCAAGAAACTAAAACTTGACAGAGGTGTAGGAGATGCAACACAACTGAATACTACACTAGTCTGTGTGTCCCCCTTACCTAATTTTGGTGCCCAATCCTCTGTGCAATGCTCTTTAATCCTATCCTGGAGAGAAGGGGACAGTAAAGGTAAAGGCAGTGAGAAGGAGGCCAGCTGGAGAGATTTCTGTCTGGATGTTGGGCACGTGAAGCTGTCCAACGGAGACATTACCAGTGGCCTTCTGACTGTGTTGTCAATGGACAGAAGCAAAACTGGTAAGCTCATGCCTTTTCTTTACCTCTTGATTTTTATATTTCAGTCCATACCATGGTATGGATGAAATATATTGTGTTCCCTCATGTTTCTCCTCCTTCTCCTTCTCCTGCCAAACAGTCAAAGGGATTCAACTCAGCCATCATTCAGCCAAATGACTTGAAATTTGGCATGGAGGTAGAGTGGGCAAATACCCCCAGACGTTTTTTTCATTTTTTTGAAACATGCCTTTGAAAAATTTTTATGAAGGTTTTTTGGGGCATTTTTCGACAAAAAAGGGATTTTTGGATCCTGAGGCCTGGTATTACAACCAAATGATCTGAAATTCGGTATAAGGGTACCTTGAACGTGTGTCTACAGAATAGTAGTCACATATTTGGCATACACCACTTCCAAATGACTCATTTGGGGGACTTTAATGGCTATTTTCAGCAAAAAAAGGGCCAAAAGTGCTGTACCCGTTCCATGTTCTATCTAAAGAATGGCCGGTTCCATCCATGGAACACTTGTTCCATTGCGGGTTACCTGAGGTCACATTGCACCTAAGTGGTGCGTAATGACCCACAAATTCAATTTTATGTGCCTAAGACCTTCAAAATGTATCAAATCTCATCATTGTTAGTTTTTGCATACCTGTAATAAGATTAGTAAAGCTTTCGAGATTCAAAGTACTTGTTGTTGCATCTTTGTTCTCATATTCTATGGCAATCACTCGTGATCTTTATTTGCAATCAGATACAGATTCATGTACAGATACATAGTCATGCACAGATACAGATTCATGTACAGATATACAGATTTTCCGAGTATGATGACCGTGTCAGTCCCTACACCTGAGTGAGGGTTACATTTGACACGGTAGCCTTCGCGTGGATTTGTTTAAGGTGGATAACAGGTTGCGAATCTGAGACCCACACACTTGGGCATCCGTCTTCCCCAGCGGATCCATCGAGGGAGACGTGCTGGTTCCAGTTCGGGTGCTTGCAGCGAGCTGCCGGTGACTTGGTTACGCTCAAGTTCCGCCTTGACTACGCCAGCCCGCCTGGCGCTGCTCTCGTCCGTCTCATATAGCTACTATTTAATTCATTTATTTGAGAACCTTTGCCAGTTTTGCACTGGGGTAAGTTTGGAATAGTCCACTTTTGCGTGGGAGGGAGATGGACTGAAATATGCTGTATTTGCTCCCAAGCAAATGTCGGCCTTTCTAGTTATCAGTTTCTTCTTCTCCAAATACTTCTGAAATCTGTCACCATGGTAACTGGTGCTGGGTTACATTATGCAGAGCTGGAGGGGCTGGTCACCATATTCTACAGTAACTAAATGTAGTACAAAATGTAGTATGTGAATGTGTTTGAGTAAGAATAGATAGAGCAGTAGTTTGTCAGGCTAGACCATGAGTTTGCAAATGTTACCTTTCTAGTTTTTTCTACATTTTATTCACAGCTGACTTGCAGAAGGTAGACTTGCTGGCCCTTGATGCCGTGCAGTCAAAAACCAGGCTAAAGGTCAGATGTAGTCATGGCAACCTCAGACAGCTGCCTCAGATGTTGCAAAGCACCCTGGGATTCCAGGCTATCCCAGGAGCCTCTGGGCTGTTCTGTGAGCAGCAGGGACCTCTGCAGTATGTGAGAGTCACCTGTACTGTCCTCAACAGGGTGGAAGCTGATTTGTCTGTTTTTACAAGGTAGAGGGTACTTTTTGGAACCATGATACAAAGTGTTACCTTGAGCCTGACTACATCACACTTCTCGCAGCACTTCCACTTGTCATTAGCCAATGCCTCAAAAAAAAGAAGTTAAGCCCAATGTTCTAACCAGCATGCATCTTTCTGTCATGTGATGGAATTTTGCCACTCATGATGGACAATCCAAATCTTTAACAAAAAAATTGGCATGTAAAGATAAAGACAGTCATCAATAAATTAAGCTTAGTCTACCAGCATAATTTATCCCCTCAAAATGCAGGAAATGGCAGTTCAGAAGTTACATTGGCAACCATCGCAATTAAATGAGCCTTTCGGCTTGAGTTTGCTAAATATAATTGTTGTATGCTGTATTTTTGATCAAAATTTTTCTCTCTGCAGGGACCTGCCCCAGCTGTGTCTCCTGCTCCACTCTCTCTACAACATCCTCCCGCAGGGAACAAAAGTCCTGCCTGACCTACAAGACTTCAAGGTCAAGGAAGAAGTGGAAAAATATGTAACATCTGTGGACACTGAACTACCACATGTGGGAAGCAAGCTGAGAACCTTACTACAAGGGGAGGTAGAGCAAGAGTGAAGCTTTGGCAGTGTCAACCACAGGTGTCTACTAAAGTCCTCCTTAATCTACAAGACTTCAAAAGTTAAAGAGGTGGAAAAATACACAAAATCTGTGGACACTGAACTGCCACATGTTACTTAGTTACCTGCATATTTTATTAATTCAGGGTTTGTGGCATACATGTAATTTACATAGCATGAAGGTTTACATTGTGATTTCTTGTTGTGTACTGTATCAATGTCTTCAGGTTATATTGGCAAGTATTTAAAAATATTATATATATGGCAGTAGTTCTGTTGACAGTTACTTAGGTCTGGCAACTCTTCTACATTCAATGTTCTAGAAAAATAGTAACTCTACAATAAACTCTACAATAAATATATTTTCGTATAACAGAAGTCTTGCTCCTTACATGCATTGACAGAGAATTGCTCAAACATGCAAAAGATTGTTAATAGAACACTTTTAATTATTCTAAGTGCTCATAAATGTATTTACAAATCTATGTTATTTACAAAATTTATGTCATGACATGGCATGTTATTGGCTGGGAAGCTTTGCCTTACTTACAGTAGTTATACATGTATATAAATGGTATGATATTGTTGGCATTGTGAAATATGGACTTCTGTTCATCACCCGTATGTTTCAGTCTATGACTAACTTTTAGAAATGGCACTGTTTATATGTGTTACTTTCAGTTCCATGTCATGTTGTTGACTATGTTACAGTTCACTTGTGTCGGTACTTTCAGAATAAATTGTAGCGGTATATTTACAAATGTACCTTTAATTTGCCCCTCTGTTTCTACAAAGCATACATCTACATATTTGTGTCCTAGATACATGTATATATAACGTTAAACATACTATTATTACATGTAACATTGTTTGTAATTTCACTTTAATTGTCAGTTGTGCTTTTGTTTAGGCTTCTTTTTCCACATCCACTAGTTCTTTTCAGTATTACTAAAGGTGCTAGAATATCAGTACTAGTTCACCTCAATGAGCATACAGTTTGTCCACCAGCAAGTCTTCACATCAACATTCAGCACGTAGCCAAATGTGTCGTCAGTCCCCTTTCATGACAGTGTTCTTGTCTCACCCATATGACCAGCCGTTGTATCCAGAACAGTTCTTGTCCTTTATCCAGAACCATTCTCAGGCACGTGTCTGGATAGTCCACGCATATCCAGACCAGTGCCTGGTGCAAGCCTATGCTCTTGGATACGTACGTGGAGACGATCCAGAACCATGCCTGATCCTGACCCATTCAATCATAGAACTAGATAGGCACCACTCTATCTTGATATGAATGAAGCTGAACATGCCTTCTATGATGTTCTATCTTTCAAAGATCAACAGTCAGTCAGTGGCACACAGAGTCTTGTCGCAAAAGAAGATGACTCACAAGAACCCATAGACAACCTTGAAGGATCACCATATGGCAAGAAAATTTCCTGTACTTGTACATGTAAGACCTTCACCACCACAAGATCTTGCTAAGTTCTGTATCTGTATAGCCAGGTTTCAGCCACCCATGTTCAGAAGAGTCCTGCTTTTGAGACCTCTTGTCATTGCAGTGTCTTTAAGATGTTTGTAAAGTTCTGAGAACTTGCAGAGAAGACCTTGGCAAGCCCTGTGTTCAACAAGTCGTTGCTGAGTGTAAGATAAGAAGCCAGTGGAAAAAAATCCAGGATCTTCAGAGGCAGATGAGATTCCCAACCAGAAGTCCTATCTGCTGTTCGCAGGCTCCTACTTAAAGAGTCTTCCACTTTAAGAAGGCAATCCTTCAAAAGGAGATGAGATTCCCAACAGGACAGTCCTGCTTCTTGAAAGCTCCTCCCAAGGAGCTGTAAACATAACCTCCTTAAAGAGTCTTCAAGTGTGTTTCAAGATGTTTGCACACAGTCCTTCAGAAGCAGATGAGCCTGCCCAGTGTGTGGTAGCCCTGTTGACCAGGAGTGCCCGTGTCCCCAAACCTCAGCTGTGTGACAGGCAGGTGTCTCTTGTGCATCAACCAGCCCGAGTCCTCCTGCCAGCTGGCCAACCCAAGGTCACACTTACAGGCTCGTCCTCCGCCACAGGTGCCTGGAAAAGTTTGAAGTTAGGACCTGTGTTATTGACGGCCTTTCATCTATGTGGCTGTGCTGAAAAGACACACTGGTCTACAAGCTGATGGCATGGGGAAAGCTACAAAATACAGGATCTTCTGAGCCGCCTAGATGATTCGAGTGGCAGAGAAGAATTGGTACTCTGCATCTGATTTAATCAGGTATTACAGACAGTCAATCACTTCCTGAATTCCTCCATGTACCACCCACTTACTCCCACCTGTGCCTGCTAGGTCACCTTCAGCCTTAACCTCCTTGTCAAGTAACAAACAACCAACAACTCTTCTGACAACTGTGTCTGCTGGACAAGCATATACACAAACCCACTCAAAACAATACCTCCATTCCCTGAGGTATTAAAACAAAAATTCTTCAACTCTAATAATTTGTGTGGTTACCTGTTTGTCCACACGCACAGTTGCTGGTCCCAGGCTTTCCTCCTCCCCAGTAGTCCTTCCTCCGCCCGTCTGCTGACACCCACCATGCGAAGCTGGTACTGTCTCTGTGCAGGACTGAACTCAGGCATTCATACTGCGAAAATAATAAAACAAAATTTATTGTTTGTTTATTCATTCATAAAATACTCAAATCGACCACTTTTCATCCAGGTCATGAGTGAAGAGGTAAACAATATCATGACATTGTTCAGGAAGGTTGAAGTCTAAGTCTGGAAAAAGATGGTAAAAAAACAGCATGTACATGTATATTGAGACGGAAAACAACATCTCCGACTACCTTGATGAACTGCATGCATCTCTTGGACCTCCTGATGACAGCCCTGATCTGCTCCAGGGACGTCCAGTAGGTGACATTGCGTGAGTACGAGCCGGGGTCCCGGTAACCCTCCACAGCCGTGCGTGTTTCGGTGTCATGCCCGAATGACGACGCCACTGCCGGGGACAACATAACTATCAATGCGCGATATTTGTAAACCCCGAGAAGAGCATACCTACGTTATGACTCTCTTGCAGTTCATAAACACATGTTACTACCGCTAATTTCCGTCTCGTATACGGACGTTGCCATTTGAAACGGTTGATACCATAACGTAGAAGAACGGCAAAACTTCAAATGCCCTGTCAACACCCAGTGGGTTTTATTAGCTTATTGATCTGCATGGGTTCGGATATCGATCCTAGCTTGTGTTCTGTCTTCTTTCACTAATACTAGAATCTTTACTATCTTATTACGATGTTGTTGTGATACTGTTTGCATTTGCAATCGAAATGTTGCTTTTTATACATTTTAAATGTTTTTGACCCTCGAAAAAAGTTAAGATTAGTGATATGTCGTTTCATCAAATGGCAACGGCGGTAATGAAACGGAAATGCGCTCTGCCCCCACCTGCATCGCCGACGCGCTCACACTGCACGGGAGTCGGCGGCACCCCCTGTCCCGGCCCGTCAGGGTCTATGGCGTAAATGTCTCCCGATCTAAAACTTTCCCCCAAAGTCTCGGAAACTTCTGAACAACTTGCTGGCAGAGCTGAAAGAAAGAATGGATGAACTTTATTGCCCAACAATATTGTACAAGAAGGCGATACAACTACATGTATCGAACAACAATGCTACAAGACCAATCTGTTCTAGAACTACAAAATATTAAACAACAACTATTAAGCAACAATCAATACTACAAGCCTATCATCTAAAACTAAAAAAGATTATCAAACAACAATACTATTCTAGAACTACAAAATTTTATTGGTAACAGTATACGAGTTACATTATCGTCATGTGTGGGTAAGTTGAGACTATTGTCTCAGAATATATTGCTGCTGAAGCATATTGCTTATTCAAGTAGCTACTGGTGCAATGCGGCTTAGCTACAACCTACAGAAAACTCAAGTACTCAGCAAAAACGGCAAAATCAAAACGCCGATGATGGAGCTTGCTTACCATCACCGCAAGACTGACAGCCTTCTGATGACGTGTTCCACCCTGGCAAGTCCCTGCCATGCGGCGATGAAGCTTCTGATTCCCCGAGAACTCCCGACAGCCTCCGTTGTAAAAACTGTTGCGATCGTTCCAACTCCGAGTTCTGCAGTGTAAGTCTTTCCACCTCGTCCAGAATCTCGTCCTGGTCGCGGAGTTGTCCGTACAGTTGTTGAACTTCCTCCCGCAGCTCGCTGGCCGACATCCCCTCCAGTGTCAACAGGCGCTTTTCTCTGCTCTGCGGCGTGGCGTCCACCACACCGTCCTCACTGTCGGCGTCTTGGTCCTGTACGTCTCTGGGTCCTATGATGCGCGGTGTAGTCGGGCTCCGGTCACGGCCGTGTTTGGAGGGTTTCCTGCTCTTCCCCTCCCTCAGATCCTCCATCTCCTGTAGAATAGCCTGGTTCTGCTGCTGAAGCCGCTTGACCTCGTCCCAGAGCATGTTGCTGGGCCGGCTCTCCAGCGCCAGGACGCGCTGCTCCATGACGTGGTGCGTGCTCTGTAGGAACTCGTTCTGTCTGCGCAGCTGCTGGACCATCTCCTGTACACCCTGCTGGTCTAACACCTGCAGAAATCCAGGATATAATTTTCAGCGTTGTTTTTATTTCTACAAGCGGCTAGAGCGGCAGTTTCATTCGGAGGGAGGGCCTTGAATTTTTTGTGCGCGTGTATTCTGTTGTTTAAAATATGAAATCAAGCTTAAGGGTCACACAAATCCAACTTTGATCACTGTAAGCAATTGTATAGTGGGAAGGAGGCCTAATGGAGATCCTAACAAACAAACAAACAAACACACCTGTCCCGCCAGCGCCTGGTTCTGCTTCTGTAACCTCAGCACCTCCTCCCACAGGAGACTGGAGGGTTTCCCCTCCAGTAACATGACCCTGCCCTCCACATCATCAGCCTGTCGCGCCAGCCGCTCCAGTTCCCCCTGCATGTGTCGGACGGCGCCCTGTTGTTGCTCCACCGTCTCGGACACCTGTCGTTATATTACAATGATGTTGTACATTTCTGGAACCAGTTCAATATTTGGTAGAAAGGTAGCAAATGCATAATTTTTACCTTCACATGGTCTGACCTAATAAACTACTGCTCTGTTTATTCTTACTTAAACACATTCATATACGATTACATGGTGACCAGCCCCTCTGTCTCTCACCTTCCACTTGCTACATAATGTTATCCAACACCACATGGTGTCTGCTACAGCAATAGTTACTAGTACCATCGTCAAGGTCAGGTCATTGACCTTATTTTACAATTTAGAAAAGTCTTCTCGGTCACCTGTTGCAGCTCCTCGCGCGTGCGCAGATCGTGTCCTGAGCCGCACGTCCTGTCGTGAGACGGAGGCAGGACGAACGTGTAGGAACAGCGGCCGTCTCGGGTGAACCGACTGCGCATGTCCGCCTGGGGAGAAACAGATGAACGTCGAGTCTATGCACATTAATTTCAGAAAACTGTCATTTTATGACGTTAAGCCATGTTGATTTATTTAATTATATGGATGACATCCTCTGGGAACCACAAAACTGATGCGAGCGTGCGAATAAAAAAAGTTTGGCCGAAATTGCTTTTATCGTGAAATCTACGTGGTCATGAAGGATGAACAAATGACACAGAGTATGGTATCGCGAATAATCTACTCTTCAAATTCATTTCTTTACATTTTCGTCTTTTTTCGTTTGATTTTCGCATTCTACGACATTGGTATCGTTTTCCAATATTTATCTTTAACTTACGGTATATATGTATATATTTGCTTATTTTGCAACTGTTTTGTACGATTTTTGTACGGACGAAAATTCATTCATGTCATCCATATAATCAAATCAACATGGCCTTACCGATGATCTCTGCTTATTGAGCACTTTTCCAGTATTATTTCTGTACACTGAAGGAAAGGAAAGCATTCCACTCCAGAAACGTTGTTTACAATCATTTCACGGTCGATTAGCAGGAGGCGGGACAGTAATCCCTGCCCCACGGGGGGGGGGGGGCAGGATCCGGCTTGGACTAATTCATCGCGAGCAGCTACCGGACCACCGGGGGAATAGTCGCGTGGCTTTGGTTGTTCCTTTGAGCCTCTACTAGCTTTGTTTCGCAATATATACGCCCATCAGGTTATCACGGACATGATTGACGTTACGGTATTAATCTATCAAATGGTAAGACGCCAAATAAAACACACAGCGTGCAATAATATATAGCAAGCTGTGAGCAAGACAAAGCCATGTCACGTCTGCTTGAAGATTATCAAACTATCAACAGAGCTATCAAAACAAGTTGGACGCTGAACAAGTTTTTCTTCGAGGTTTAGACAGATCCACACTGCCCTTTGTCCGGTTAAAAAAAGGCTCGTGGTTCTGTGTTCAATTTTTAAAAAAAAGTTTGTTACATCCCAATTAAAATGGATATTGTGCTGGCACCAGGTCGTACCTTTGTGGAGAAACTCAGTATTTTAGAAAAGTGTAAACAGTCCCATCCGTAGAAAACCGGTTTGTGCTGAAGATATGGGGGCGACTGGGCACCTGATAAATTAGTCCCCATTAGCTCTGACAGCTCTCATACCCGTGAGGCCTAACAACTGGTGACTGGTGACACCGACCCGCAGATAGGCCGCATTTGCTGACCTTTTCACGATTGTTTTGATACCTTCTACGTCAGAGCTGTTAAAAAAGAAATGTTTGACATAACGTTAAACCTGAGAATATGTGTCCATTTAGCCAGTGCTCAAGGAACAAAATACAGTTACTGGATATTGAATTGCTTATCTCAAAACTAGTAGTCATATAGAAAAAAAAACAATTTGCAGAATCAGAAAGTAGCCATTTTATTAAGATGAATTAAGAGCTCAGCCCTAGAGGGTCTGCTTTTGACCATTATACCTGATGGCACCATAACATATGTCGTTGACCAGGGGGGGAAATGATACTATCCCATCATCCTTTGCAATACACATCCCACAACACGTGTCCCAGATGGCTGACTGTCAGCACCAGGCATATAGTCCTGTCATGTTTCCTTTAAAAGTGCAGCAATGGCAACAATTTGACCAGTAATTTTTGGTTCTTTGAATTGTCAAAGGACTCAAGTAGTGTATGAGGCTATCTGACTTTTGTAACTTATGTACAACTTCTTACATTGTGTCTTAAACATTTATGCAAACATTTGCTTCAAAAATGGTGCTCAAACTTCACCAAACTAAAGTGCTTTTCTACAAACTGTGTTGATTGGTGATATTATACATCTTGTGCATCAGAAAACCCCAAATGCACCAAAAAGCACCCATGGGAAACGGAAGAAAATTGCATTTGTTGATGATTATTACATAAATAATATCAAATATAATATTTTCTTCCGTTTCCCATGGGTGCTTTTTGGTGCATTTGGGGTTTTCTGTTAGCCCTGACAACATGCCAACGGCTATGGGTTAAGATTTATACATGTTACATGTAGATACATACATACATGACGTACATCCAAGTATTATATTGCCAGTCTACTAGTATCATTTTGTAGCAATATAGATATATATATTACTGCAAAATGATAGATCTACTAGTATACAGCTTATCGAGGCCAATTCGTTCAATACAAGGTGCTAGAGGCTATGGGTTAAGATTTATATTATACAGCTATATCTAAGTATTCTATCGTCAATCTATCACTTTGCAGCGATATAGGTTGCACAGGATCTCAGGATAGGTGTAGCTTATGGAAGCAGAGTTGTTCATGCAATACAACATGCCAACGGCTATGGGTTAAAATTTACATTATACATCTATATCTAAGTATTTTACCGTGCCAAGGGCTATGGGTTAAGATTGATATCACACATGTAGATCCAACTTGCGATTTAGTCATTCAGCTCTTTCCAGCAGTTTCAAATACTGGTACATGCTGAAATACCAATACATTTTGACAGAGCTGTGGGACTAGTTAACAATGATTGAT